GAGCGCCCAGAGATGAGCCGTTAAGGTTCTATTGGAAGGATCTAAAGTGACACGTCTCAGCCTGAGTTACTGAAAAATCTTTCTAGAAATATGAAAACAAGTCACGTTTTGTAGCCCCAGTTAGTAGCTGGCTGCTAATATGCATTGCAGCTACCAGCTACATCAAGTGTGACGTGTACTTTCGACTTCTGAAGAAGTTCAAATAAATCACCCTTTGTGCTTTGATTAATTTTTTTGGATTTATTTCAACGGTTGGCGAATCCATGATTCTTCGTACAATTTGATCGACACCTATCCAGCGCGTGCAATTTGTCAGGCCATTGAAAGTCGCGTGGATCGCTACCTTCATTTTTCAACAAAGAAACATTTTGTCAGCCATCGGGTTGTTCTAAAACCGGCCTTGTTTCGCATATTGCTACCTATTCCGTCAGCTACTGGTGTTTTCAAACATCATTCCCAGTCTTCACGAGTAATACCGGTTAATGTCTTACTAAACTATAAGCTGTCCACGGTAAACTAAATTTGGTGTGCTCATAGAGACTTTGTAATTCACATGTGAACAGGTGACACTAAAATTTGCCAGACTGTCCGTTTCTCTTTTTCCATGCTGCCTATACAGATATACACACTCAAGACATAATGTTCCTACACGTGCATTCATATCATACTGGATTAAGGGGGAACTTTGAGCTGACGTGCTCAGCATTATAGCTTGGATTATTACGTATGCCTAACCATCGTTTGCCGAAGAGAATAATGTTTTCTATGCCCAATTCGTATTGGCGTAAACAGAGAGGTGGCCAACCCTTGACCTGGCAGTGGAGTATGAAGGAGATCACGAAACGCCTGGTTTAGTCAGTGCTACTCGCCTTCCAGGATAGGGACCGCGTGATCCTCAATGTTCCTAGTTGGAGACACTACAAGTCATGGTTGCCAACCGATGTCCGTGACGTTCTTGTTGTCAGTTTCTGTCCAGATTGCCGGAGTGAATGTCTGGAGGTGTAGGCACCTCGGAGTGATTTTGTTAAGCTAGCACCAAGTCCCTCCCAAATCCACCTTAATTTTTTTCTTTACAATAAGGCTTTCAAATAAGTCACGGTTGTACGGCAATGGGGCATCGTTGTTGAACACTGATGTCATGCTGTCGATGATTGATGATGCGATTTTGAGGCATTTATTATTCTAGCAAACCTGGGAGAGTATTCACATCCCGTGGTACCGTCTGCTTTGTAGGCAATATCAATCCCATAACCGCGAGCAAAATGAGCTCATGCTACAACATCATCATACTTTTGAAGAATGTAATACGAAATATAACTTTTGTATGAAACAATTTGAGATGCGCGGCTACACTATATTTACCCCTGGTGATTTGGGAGCATAAGTAAATCATTTGAAATCCAAGAGATTGTCCATTAAATGCAGGCATTCAAATTCCGTGACAATTAACTGGCGCCTGAGTTGCACGAAGGGTTAGATGCACGGTAAATAACTCAACTTGATTAGTTGACAAGTAAACATTAATCAGTGAATTAGATCATGTATCAGAGAGCGTAACATTATACACACACTAGCCAAGTAAAATTGGTTACACATGTTTGCTTTTACTAAACATGTCAATAACACTTGTTGAATTAGGTGATATCATGTTCATAGACCAACGTTCTGGCCTTGCCTTCAGTTGTACTTTTGCAAGATTCTCGGCTAGATGTTCTCTAAAACCAGTTATTAAATGACCTAACAAAAACAGCATTCACGAGAATAGAATAGCTTACAAGAGGATAAAACGGTACTAAACTTCATCACTTTACTTCGTCTGTGCACATGAAGCACCCGCCCAGCAGAACTATTGTCGTTTTTACAAAGTTGGGGATTTTCAACGTGTGGCTTCTCAGTTACCAAAACAGCATTCTATAATTGCAGATTGAGCAAACATTCAGAAACCACCCTCAAGGCAGAATACAAGGTACGAACTATAAAACCAGGTGCCAAAACAACGTGTATCATGCAACATTTCGAACAAAATCCAGCAAATATGTCGATGTGGATAGCTTCGCAAAGCGGAACCTGCTGGCCCAAATTACACAAAATTCCGTTACGGCTTACATACTGCCAAAGCTCTCTTACAACCGAAGCTTTCACACATGCCTGTGGGAAGTGGAATCCCTAGCCAGAGGAAAGGTAATTTCAGGTGGCATCCACTTTGAGCGCAACGAATTTTTGCAATTTGCGCCGCTGAAAATATGCTACCATAGTGCTCAGTCAGC